TGGATGCTCTCTTTCGGAAGAAGTTTTTTTTTTTGGAAGATCTCTTCCAGAAAAGCTTCTTCGGAAAGAAGCCTGCAGTCTAGACATAGCCCAAGAGGCAGGGCAGTGCTATTACTATGGTCTTCTCCCTGCCCTTCTCCCAGGGTTTATTTTTCCTCTGCCATTGTCTGGGACATAATGGGGGGGGAAAAAAAAAGGGAGACCAAACTGGAAACTGAACTCCTTTCAGTTTTGAAAGCCAAGAAGTTTTCACTTTCCATCAAACTGGATAATTAAAAAAAAAAAACACTAAACGTTCTCCATAAAAATGCATTTTTGAAAAAAAAAGGTAAAAATGTTCAAAATGAAAAGAATGTTGCTCAGTTCGAGGGGTAAGTGCTGTATCTGAAGGTGTCTATTGAGTTTTCATGGCTGCCACCTATCTACCTAAGAAGGTGGTGGGGCTACAGTGCCATGGTAATATACAACATATAGGTGTCCCACCTCTGGCTAGGAACATTGTCCTTTGAGAATGCCTGGGCCCTACTAGATCTTCTCATGGCAGAATTAGCTTCTTATAGGATCCCCTCCCCAGCCTGTCTTTCTGGACTTGGTCCTTTAAATTTGGCAGATCGAGCAGCTGCAGTCCACAAAGGCCCATGTTGCCAGAGGCTGTTATTTCCTTTCTCTCTCTCTGTCTCTCTCTAGTCCAGCTAAGCAGTACCAGTTATGTTTTCTCTTTCCTACTGCTAAGGAGATGGCACAATCTCACAGCAAATGATTTGGCCTTAGTTTTCCATGAGTTCACTTGTCATTTCCTATTTTCTTCCAGAAAAATAAATACAAGTCTAGAGGGTAAAAAGCAACCGTGTTTATATGAAAAGTTCAATATCATTTGTTCAAAACAAGATGGGATGATTGCTGAACAAGAGTGAGCTCAAATGGTCTGGCAAAAAACAGAGCCAGGCAAATACTTATTATGAAGGGGCCATTTTTGGAAGGGCCATTTGCCAAATGTAAACATTACCTCTTTGTTACTTCCTTGGAGTTTCAAACATTTCTGCTGGGTAATCGGGGGGGTTTTATAAGGTAAACATTTTCTAAGAACAAATAGCTGAAACAGGTAAAGGAAATAAGGAGAGAGATGGCAAATTCCTTCTGCGGTGCTCTGAGAAAGTGCTTATTTCTATTACAACTTCACACAGGAATATAAAACATAATGACAGGGAAAGGGAAATGGCATTTTTAAAAATATGTGAGCTCTCTAAATAAAAAGCAGTCTTTCTTTACAGCTCCCACAGGGGCACTGTCTTGACTGGCTTTTTCCTTGTTATGTTCTAAGTAATGTTTTTCTGCATCATGAATGCAATGTGAACTCCCTGCAGCACTTTTTGTGGCTGGGTGGCATTCTGGAAAAAAGAAAAAAAAAGCATCCTTTGGTTTTTAGAAAGCTGGTGACTTGTCCACTTCTTGCAAAGTTCTTTAAAATCCCCTGTGATGTGGAACCATCCTAGCCATATTCGCAGGGTAAAGGGACTTTTGTTGAAATAAATGAATTGTTTAAAAGGGACAGAATTAGGTTTCTTCCATGCAGTGCCTTCGGTTTTGGCATCCACTGGACCACCCAGGTGGCTGTGGGCTGAGAAGGCATCTGACACCCTTTCTGTGCTGTTCTTTGCATGCAGTGCTTTCCCTTGCTGAATCCAAACTGCAGTATTCCACAGTACTGACTCTGCTTGCTGCTGTGCTTGGGACCATTCCTGTCATAGGTATCAGGGTGACAATTGTGTCATTATTTATTTTAAAAGAGCAGATGAGGAAAAGGGGCCCAATGAATCTCCAAGCACAGGAGCCTACGCAGCAACCAGCCAACTCAGGAATGATCATCCTGCGCAGGTAACCCGTTTGCCTTCTGCGGCTGACAAAACAAAAAACATTTCACAAGGATTGCTAATAAAATTGGCTTGAGATTCTGCAAGGAGTAGGGAGTGTTTTAGGTGCCTACCTTGAGCCACTTGAAAGGACCTGGATTTTCAGAGGGCAAGGCTGCAGCACGAGCTTAAAAAAAAAAAATCAGGCCTCCTTCCTTTATCTTAATGTGAGCATGCAAAAATCCCTAATCAGCTGTGAAAACCTTAGCTGATCTCTACATGCAGCACAATCCCTTCTGATGATGAAGTGTCCCGATGCACTCTGCAGACTGAATATCAAAGTTAATTTACAAAGAGGGGGAAAGAGAATACAGCCCCCCAACCAGATTTCTTTCTGGAGTGTGGAGGGGCCAGTGAGGTGGCAGCCGCTGGAGCCAGGGACATGAAGCTGACTAGAGCTACTTAGTGTAGCTTGGTTTTGGACTGAGTACCTGACTGACCCAATGTTCAAACACAGGGTGTGTCTAGACTACAGGGTTTTGTCGACAAAAGTGAACTTTTGTCGACAAAACTAAACCTGCGTCTACACTACCGCTGAGTTCTGTCGACATAACGTCAACAGAACTCAGCAGTTTTGTCGATGCTGGTAAACCTCATTTTACGAGGAATAACACCTTCTGTCGACAGAAAGCGTTATTACATCTAAACTGTCCTTTGCGTCTACACTGCTATGTCGACAAAGCAGCTTGCTTTGTCGACAGAACTGAATGTAGTCTAGACGCTCTTTGTCGAGAGAAGCTTTGTCGACAGTATCTGTCGACAAAACTTCTGTCGACAAAAGCCTGTAGTCTAGACGTACCCACAATGTTAAGGCTCATTGGGAGCTACACATTGGGCTGGGACCAGGGATCTTTAGCATAAGCTGCTAAAGCACACTAGCAGGGTCTGGAACAGACCCATAGCCTCTGGGGCTCAAACACACACTCAGCAGGGGATACACTGTCATTTTGTCCCAACTTAGGGATGGACTGATGTCATGCTCAGGGATGGGGTGTACGTACCCCACATTGGTCCAGCTGCAGGTTCAAAGTCCCACCAAACTGATGTGAGAGGATATTGTATGTGGACAGGAGGGGGGAGCAACATCAAAGTAAGAGGCTAAGCTAATGTGTTTTCGCTGCAGGGTTATGACCCAGCTAATAAAATCTAGCACATACCATTAATGATGCACTAAACTGTATTAATGAATAATAGAGGGGGGCTGAAGTTTCTCGATTGCTTTGATTAACTTAACACTTGCGTCTATCAGTGTCAAGCACACAGCAAGGTTTGACACACTGGGCTACATTCAAGGCCCCTTGAAATCAATGGAAGTGGCTCCACTGATTTAAAGGGGCTTTGGAATAAGGAGTCACAGAATTTCTCTAGCGATCTGCTGTTCATGGAAGCTGGTGCCCCCGAAAGAGAACAATGGAAAAGGGGGTTGTGAGGCCGTGAGGGAAGCCCGAGGCCTGGGCAGGATTTAACTACTATTTAGGGTGTATCTTAGAGCATGAAGACCCACCTGATCACGAAGTCTGATTTCCTGGGTCACATGCCACCATCACCATCCAGTGTCCACGCAATGAAGCCACCAACCAAAATCAAATATTGGGCTCACAGAAGACTTGATCAGTATTTCTCAACCTTTTTTATAAAAAAGTACCCCTTTAAAAAAAATTTTAAGTACCCCCAGTACCTACAGTTTTCAGATACACACATTTTTTCTACCGTTGCAACACATTTGTTTCAACAACTTAATCGTAGCTGGGTGGGTGATGACATTTTTGGGTGTAAAAAGTACAAAAATAATAAAGTGCTGTAAAACTTAAAACAAAAATGCAGTTTTCTCCAAATTTCAGTGGTGTTGACGTACCCCCCAGACTTCTCTCGAGCACCCCTAGGGATACTCGTACCCCTGGTTGACAAACAGTGGACTAGACTATGAAGTGTCACAGGCGGAGAGTAGGAGTAACTGAAGTGTAGCCCTGCAATGGCAGGGAAATGCTAAAGTCGGATATACCCAGGTGGCTGTGTCTAGACTGCATCCCTTTTCCGTAAAAGGGATGCAAATTAGACACATCGCAATTGCAAATGAAGTGGGGATTTAAATAAACCCTTTTCCGAAAGACCCCTTATTCCTTAAAATAAGTGATAAGGTATCTTTCGGAAAAGGCTTTATTTTCCAAAAGATCCACGTCTAGACTGGCGCTTTTTTCCGGCAAAGCTCCGAGCCAGAAAAAAGCGGCAGCCATTTTTATGCAAACGAAGCAGGGAGGATTTAAATCCCTGCTTCATTTGCAATTGCAATGTGTCTAATTTGCATCCCTTTTACGGAAAAGGGATGCAGTCTAGACACAGCCAGATAAGTCTGGCAAGCGATTGTCACCCACATGCTAAAGAGGATGGCACCCGCCCCTCCCCCAACATCACTGCCCATCAGGGGGGAAATTTCTTCCTGACCCCACCTATGACAACCAGTTAGACCCTCAGCATATGAGCAAGACCTAGTCAACCAAACATCATGCTCAGTGCCACCTCAGAGAACAGGCCCTCCCTGTCTGATATCCTACCTTCATTTCTGGCCATCCTGGTGCTTCAGAAGAAGAGGTAAAAGAAATCCAGAACACACTGGGATAACAGGGGTGTATATGTGTGAGAAGCTTTTGCAGACTCCTGGAGGTGGCCGCTACCCTGCAATACCAAGAGGCATGATCCTAACGCAGGCTGGTTACTTTGGGAGAAAATAGCAGCAAAGACTCGGCAAGTTGGCTTTTCACTTGGGTTAGCAGCGTAAAGTTGATGGCCAGATTGTAACCCCAAGTTAAAAGCCAAGTTACTATTTTTGCCTGGGTTAGCTAACCTGAGTTAAGAATGTGCGCTTTTTTGCAACGTAGGCGTGCCCTTAGACACTTGTTTCAGCTCAGAGTAGCCACAAAAGCTTGCTTCACTTCCTAAGTATTTGACTGCAATGAATCACCAGCCAAGAGCAAAGATGTAAAGTAAAATAGATATAAACGAAGCGGAATTTATTTTGCATTTATTTCCCATCCTGCTGGTGAATTTGCTCCATTTCATCCTCATTTTTCTCTGCTAAATACAAACTTTTTCTTTTTTTAATAAAATATATAAAACATTGTGCATCACTATCCATGGAAAACTGTAGTTTAACAACAAAAAAGAATAAGGCACATTGCTGTGCAGCCTCTTCAAATATATATATATATATATATAAACTCAAAACAAACAAAACCCTTTTCAACCTCTTTGAGGCTGTTTAACATTTCACTGATCACTGACACATCTCCTATAATACCATAATTTCATTGTTGGTAGCAGGTTTGTTTGTGGGGAAGGAGATGGGGAAACGTACTAAAAAATAGGATTTTATCCCTGAGGTGTCAGTAAAAAAAAATGCTGCCACAAAAAAGCACGATTAAAACGCCATCTTAAATAACAAGATACACTGTTGACTGTCCAAGCACCAAGATGATTTCTTGGTATAAGAATCCCCACATCTTATAAAATTATTTTTAACTAGGTTAATCTCGTGGCTTCCAAAGTCACAAGACAGTCACGCATCATGAGCTTGTGCCTCTCACCCCTCCCACCCCACATTAGCCTCTAATGGACACAGAGCCTCCGTTTGCATACGATGCTCCTGAAATCTTTGGGGAAAGCAGAACACTGATAGTTTCCCAGCCATGCATGAGAGCAGCATTTGTACCGTAGCACGTTCAACTTCCAGAATGAGAGGGAGGGCCTGAACTGTGTGCCTCCCACCCACTGTACGCCAAGAAGAGAAGCTGGCATCCACCTCTGCTATAACCAGACTGATTCCAAAGAGAAAATACTGGGGGGTGTTTTTCCTGGTGTCGGTAGCAATATGTCAGGGGAAAAGGGAAGGGGAAAGCTTTATTGCTGTCCATACACAGTGCTCCATTTAGCCCTTCTGAAAGGAAAAGGGGAGACTCCAATGTAACACTCCTTTCCTCCCCCTCTTCTTTAGCAGGCCCAGGAAGACCTAGGCTGCAGTACCGAACAGTGGGATTTCCCAACACTTTTAGTAGTAGCGATTCAGGCTTCTGGTCCCTGGGATGTCCGGCTGTCCATTCATCCATATCTCCCGGATGATGCGCTCCCGCTCTTCTAGCCTCTGCGCCCTCTCCAGCTCCTCAGCGGAGGTGAAGACGTTCATGTTCAAAGTTCTTTCGAACCTGCGATGCCTGCGGGCCGACAGGTCCGAGGTGGTGTCCGAATCGTCGTCGCTGTCGCTGCTGTCGCTGTCGCTCTCTGGCTCCCGAGGAGGCTTTTTCCCTGGGGAATGTTTGCAGTCAGTTCGGCAGGACACCTTCAGCACCAAGGCCAACAGGGTCAAGACGAGTCCAATGCACACGCCAGAGACGAAGTACAGCGCAGCACGCTCCGGATTTTCTGCAAGGAGAAGAGAAACAAGTCTCAGAGGATAAGATACGGAACAAGCGAGTCCCACGGAGCCACGGCACAAGTTCCAACAGCCCCAAGTTTCTTCAGAGATTCAGATCTTCGCCAGGTTTCATGATGATACTCCTGAAGCTTCCCCTGTATCATCCCAAACAAGGCATGTCACTGAGGCATTTTCCTGAGGCATTTTCTGCATACCTAACAAGAGCTCATTATGTCCTAAAGCCATCCAATATTTTAAAGGAGCAGCCCACCAGATTCAATGCTAACTCCACTGCCCATGGGAGTGGGATTGTGACGTTAGCAAGCATCACAGTCAGCAGTGATTAAGTGCACTTTATAAAGCTTTATAGCGCACCTTTGCACTGCTGAAATGATAAGCCCTGTACCGAGAAAGTGACTTATTAGCTATTCATTTGTTTACTGAAGGTAAACGAGCTGGTTTTCTGCCTACCCCACCAAAATGCACTGTTGAGGATACCCCAAACCAGATGAAGCCAAAACATTCACTTGTCAGCATCTGCATAAAAATGTTTCTGAGACATCATAATGAAACTTTGAAGGAACCGGGCTGTATTTTAAAATGTCATCTAATTTTTGTGTTTGCTTATACATTCGATTCATCGTAATTACACACGATTTCTATGAACCACTTTGGCCCATTTGCAATAAAGCAGTTGATCCAACAAAGGATGACGATGAACTAGGCAAAATACCTGGAGGCAAATTCAATCCTGTTCAGGCAGGGGCAGGCAAAATACAAACCACGGAGGCCAGATCCAATCCACCAAGCTATTGTGTCCAGCCTACTGCCCAGTGGGAGTCTCAGCCAGGCTCCCTGCCTGCCCTGCCTCCACAGGTTGCTCAGAAAAGTTGTCTGCTGGGCCACGTGTGCATCTCTGAATGTTACAAGCCCAGGGAAGTGGGGGGAAAAGGTTTTGCATGAAGTACCCTTCCCCCCAGCTCCCAGCACTTAGCACACATGGCCGCTGCAGCCATTGCTCTGAGTGGCCTGCATAGCCATGGAAGACAGTGAGCTTGGCTGAGAAATCAGTTGGGCTGCTGGCTGGGAGTCACCCAGATAAGCACCTTCTAGCCAGAGCCTGCCTCTGGCACCCCAGTCCCTCCCTTCCTTCAATCCTCTGCCTCTTCCTTCTCCTCTATGCCACATAACCCAAACCCAAACACTCTGCACTCCCACTCCTGCACCTATGCCTCCTCCCAGACCTTGCACCCTCTGCTACACACCTCTTCCAGGTCACAACCCCCTCCCAGACCCTACACCTCCTCCATTAATATCATGGAAGTGTGCGGCTCTTGACCACTTACCAAAATCTTGGAGTGTCTTGGAGTGTCCCCTACTCCCCCACCCCATGTTAATGGCTTTGACTTGAATTAGGGCTGAATATTTGTCTGAGTCCATCCCAAAACGTATTGGGAAAGGGAATGACCCACGTGTAAATTCAAATAATACACCAGATGTCAGACTTGATCTCAACATAATAATCTCAAACCCATTGCCTCTAACACTCCCTTGGAACATGGGATCACAAGGTAAACAAAAGAGTATATTTTAACTGCTCCCCAGCAGTGGACCCTGACTCGGGGTTTGAATGAGGGAAAAGGTCACTGCAAAGGTCGATACTTGACAATGCTCACGGCACAGCTACGCAAGCATGAGGGGGAAGAATTCTGGACAGGAAGGATGTGCCTCTTGTTGTTTGGATTAGGGATGTAACATCCCATTTAATTGGTCAATATGTTAAACATGGAGGCTGTGTCTACACTGGCATGAATTTCCGGAACTGCTTAAAACGGAATACTATTCCGTTTTCAGTTTTTCCGGAATAGTTGGCAGGCTGCTTTTCCGGAAAAGCCCTTTTTCCGGAAAAGCATCTGTGGCCAATGTAGACGCGCTTTTCCGGAAAAGACTACTGGGCTGTCTACACTGGCCCTTTTCCGGAACAGTGTTCCAGAATAAGGACTTATGCCCGAGCGGGAGCAGAATAGTTTTTCCTGAATAGCGGCTGATTTTGTACAGTGAGCGTCGTTGCTTTTCCGGAAATTCAAGGGCCAGTGTAGACAGCTCGCAGCTTATTCCGGAAAAGCGGCTGATTTTCCGGAATAAGTGGCCCAGTGTAGACACAGCCGGAGTGTGTCTACACAGCAGGGCTTAACTCAAAAAAAGCTATACAAATTGAGCTATGTCAACTGCATTGACTATTTCAAAATAGCTTATTTCGAAATTGGGAGCTTCTACTCAGTACTTATTTCGAAATAGAGCACTCTTCTTCCCACTTCCCTTACTCCTCGTACAATGAGAGTTATGGGAGTCAGAGTAAGAAGTCCTCCAGCTTGACAGTATTTGGACATTATCTCGATAAGACTGCCTCCTGTGTAGACACGGACTAAGTTATTAAATAATGTTGCTGTGTGGATGTACCCATGATGTTTAACCAGTTAACCGATTACAGGGGGCATGGGCAGGAGGGCTGCTCCAGCCCAGCAGAGCCATCCCCCGGGTGCAGGCACGGGCTACTCTACCCTGGCCCTGTCCGCGGCAGGTCCGGGTGCATCACAGGCAGGGGCTGCTTCAGTCATCCAGAGTAGACTTGGGCACACTGCAGGCAGGGGCTGCTCCAGACGACCAGAGCAGCCCCTCTTCACAGTGGGTCCCCCGCGAGGATGGAACAGCCCCCTTTCTGTGGCAAGTGAGGAGCTGCTCCAGCCCCCACTGGTTAATGGTTAACCAGAACCGGTAAGCATCACCTATCAACTAGTAAGCATCACCCAACCCTAACCCTAACCCTAAGCTGTTGAGAGTGATGCTTAGCAGTTAACCCTTCACACCCCCAGTTTGGATCCCGTTTGAACTCCTCATCTTTCTCTACAGGGCCCTATGCACTGAGTGACCACTCCTCTGCATCTATTCACCCCATTTCCCCCTTCACTCTGCACCAGCTACCAGATTAAGTGCCCACTTTGTGCCTCGTCCTTCCCTATCTCTGGGTCTACTTTCATGCTGCACCATACATCTGGGTGCCCGTACTTGGTCTAGTCCATCCTGTTTCCACTCTCTCCTAGTTCAAGCCCTTTCTTAACACCACATTTCTCTAAGGAGGCTGATGAACCCCACTGCCCTCTGGGATTCTAACCTGCTGAAACGGGTACATGAAACAAAAGCTCTTTCAGCGCTGCATATCAAATCCACCGGACTGACAAAATGGGTGCCAAGCCTCACCGTTCAATTGCACTGCTATCTGGTGCTGCTCTAGCCTCCTGCTTTGTTTGTAAGGTCTCTAATTAGATTGCTCTTTGGAGCAGAGATCTTGGGCGAAATCCTAGTAAAATTGCCATTGACTTGAATGCAGCCAGGACTGTAAACTTTATTTTCATCCTTACCTAAAAAACACCTGACCTTGCTCATGGCACTGCACAAATAAATAACAAGTACAAGCCTGTATTGAACATAAGATTGCATTGGTGATTCCTTAGGGCAGGGATTTTCAAAGGGGCCTAAGGGAGTTGAGTGCTTAACTCCCATTGACTTGAACATCCCCATGTGAACAGCTCCAGCCCACCCAGTGTATTTTTTTTCATACACTACACACAACTCTAAACAGACAGTCCTTCATTCAGTACCAGGGTAGTAATTGAATCATTGGGCTCTTCTGGCATAGTTATGCCATCAGCATTTAAGACACGAGCTGGCCTCTTTGATTGAACTGTAACCCTGCATTCAACTCCAGATTTGGCATTTATCAGTTTATATAGACAGTCCAGTCACATAGCAACCATGCTCCCAAAGCACAGCAAAGGGGCATTTTCTGTTCTAGAACAGCTAACTCACTGATGGACAAGATTTTGAATTTTGAACTGTGACTAATAATTTGAGGGGGGGGGCATTTTTTTGGTGGTGAACCTAAGATAGCTTAAGAGGGAGCCTAACTTTCCAAGTGTGAACTTTCAGCATTTCTGAAAAGCAAACCACTTTTAGGGCATTTCAAGTTTTACAATCAAACATGAAAGCATGCCAAATTACTAGTCATTTTTGAAAATATTATTATTAGCATGGTGGTAACTCTTAGGAGGCATACCAGTCATGAACCAGGATCCACTGTGTTAGGTACTGCACAAACATAGAACAAAAAGCCTGCCCTTCTGACAAAAAGTTTACGTGTGTATACTCACATGCACATATCTACACGCCATCTACACGCCCACTCACCCACACAAGTGAGTTTGGCCAATTATCCTTGCCTTATGACACATGAAACTTAAACGAGCCAGATACAGTCCATGGGCTAATTCTTAAAATGTAAGAAAAGTGAACTTGTAACTTCTAATAAATCATAATTAATAGGAAACTGCACTATCCAGAGCATTACAAGTGCGTATCTTGCTTTACAAACCAAACTATATGGCTCAGTCCTGATGGACCATCTTAACTGAGGGCCATATGTTGTGGTCTGTCATCAAGCTGCATTCCTCTGATTGAATACAAAATCCCGGCTGTTGCCCTGAGAACGGCCTTGCCTGCACTGTGCACTTGCAATCTGTTAGATGTAAAGAGGCTTTTCTCAGAGCACTGTGGTGTGGTGAGGGGGATGGACTTAAAACTCTGTGCCTTTACAAATAAATGTTCTCACCATAACTATCAGTGTTGGGGAGAGGTCTTCTGATTGGCTGGCTGGAAGAAAGGGGGAATTGTCTCTTTAAGGGCACCCGTTACAATAGGCAAAAGAAAGGGGAATGTCTGAAGAGGCAGACAGGAAGGGCAGGAAGCAGATGGGGCCAGGAGAAGGTCACTGCACAGTTCAGGTTCAGAATGCCTGAGTGCGATGGGCATCGGGCGGCTCTGTAGTGATAGGATTTGGGATTGTCAGTCCAGATTCCAAGTGGGCAGATCACACGGCACAATCTCAGACTGGGCACTCACTGGTATGTCTGTCGCCAGGCTACACGGATCGCGTTAGCTCAGGAAACAGTTC